CACACACACACAGAGAGAGAGAGAGAGAGAGAGAGAAGGATTAAAATCTAGGTCTCTTGAGTCCTAGTCCATCACTGTATCCACTACACCACTCTGGGTACTTCCACACCTACTTTCAAAAGCTAAATGCATTTCTCATGCTACTGACAGGTGGCAGTGTTTCCCTTCGGTTTTTACTAAAGCATTTTAACCTTACCAGACAAAACACTGGAGCAGACACCTCTGTGAATACTAGCTTTGCGGCCAAGCTTCTAACAGCCACTCTGCAAATGCAAATGCACATCTGGTGCAAGTTTCATACAGCTGGATCTGTTTTGCTAGCAAGCTATGAGGAGGCCCTGTGACCCACAGAAGCAAAAGGCAAAGACAAGATACTGTACAAGTGTACCACCATGCCCGAATGCACACTCCCTGTCTTGCTTGTCAAGAGGAGCCATCAAGAATGGCTTGCCTATACAGCTGAACATGTAGTCGCACACTGCCAAAGTTCACCACCACTGTCCTTGCCTTCCTCTACTTTCATCAGACCTTTTGTGATGGAACAACCACTGCTGGGCCAGGACAACAACAACAACAAAAAGCCTTATCCCGCTGTAAAATTCTCTGGAAAACCAAGTCCTGTGAGGAAAGATGGAAAGAACTGGGCATGTTTAGTCTTGAGGAAAGAAAATTGAGGGGAGTATGATAGCACTGATCAAATATTTTAAAGGCAATCATACAGAGGAGGGGCAGGATCTGTTCTCAATCATCCCAAGGTGCAAGACACATAATAATGGGCTCAAGTTACAGGAAGCCAGATTTAGGCTGAATATCAGGGAAAACTTCCTAACTGTTAGAGCAGCACGACAATGGAACCAATTACCTCAGGAGGGGGTGAGCTCTTGATCACTGGAAGCGGTCAAGGAAAAGTTAGGGTTTGTCTACACAGGGAAGCTATATGAGCTCAAGTCAGGCTAAACTGGGGTTATGATCTTTCCTTTCATTCTGGAAACCAATCTTTCTGTTTGTACATGCTGTGACATTGCAATGAGATCCTGGATCACATGAATGATTACCGCAAACTAAAGTGGAGCATTTTCACTGACACCAAAAAGAAGGAAGAAAGAAAAAAAAAGGGCAGGGGAAGTAGCTCCTGATGGTGAACCAAAAAGGTACAAGCGGAAACCAGAAAAGAACAGTCTGCTTGGAAATTGGCTTTGCATTGTGTGATCACTTAAAATTAGGTTGTAGTTTACTGTGCTATCAGAGGGCCAAAACAGGGAATAAAATCATTGTGTAGCCACCCCTTTAGATACCCATCTGTCAGATATATTTCAATATGAATTCCAGCACTAAGCAGGGGACTAGACTCAGTGTCCTTATAAGCCCCGTTCAAATCTATTAGTCTATAATTCCATGTCCTTGGGCCAATCACCATCTCTTTAGAAAACCTGGGGGAATATCCACTATACACTACAAGATTCTCCTTCATTCTCTCACTAGAATAAAAGGAGGGAGGGAGGTTTATTGATGTTCATGGTTCAGTGACAACTAGGCCTCCAGGTGCCACGCAGCAGGTCTTGCTGTAAACACAAGAGTTATTTCATCAGTTCCTTGTCACATAAGATGATGAGCCATTCCATATCTGGCCAAAGTATTATCTAGTATTCACACAGAGGCCAAACCGTTGGCTGGAGGAAATCAAAGCCTCCATGTCCCATTTCCCAGCAATGGATATACAAAGGCATACTATCCAGAATTGTGCTGCATGAAGAAGTATTTTGCTTTTCTAATGTGGCTTTAGTGGATGACCCCCAACCTTACCAGAGATAGCAGGAAAATTCCAGCCTATCCACTTTTTTCTGTACCACACATAATTCTCCCCCTGCAAACCACCCTGCTGCCTCCCCCAAGTTAAACTATGCAGGGTGGATTTTCCTCATACAGGATTTTCTCCAGTTACTTAATTGCCAGATACAATTAAGAGCCTTTCCAATACCCCTTTCCAGAATGGTACATGTCATTCTGGATAGAAGTGCACTATGGAGTTCTATAAGGGCAATATGATAATTGACCAGTTTCACTTTTAATTCCATTTCTAATTATGCCCAGCATTGAAATTGCTTTTTTCCCAGAAGCCACACACTGGGCTTTCATTCTTCATTTGTATCAGGGCACTGCACACTTTAAAGTTATGAACATATCTGAAATATAGTTAAAATAAAAATCAAATTAAAATGTTAACAATATTAGACTATTTTTGACCAAAAGTGGGCTACTTAAATAAGATTATCACTGGGCTGAAATATGCATTGAGCTACCTACTATAACCTGAGGTATCTTTCTTAGTTAGTCACTGCCAGCTCAAATCCCATCAGTGTATATGTGAAGTTAGGGTTTTTTCCTGTTCTAATTTTTTATTTATTGCTGAATCTCATTTGCCATTTTAATGTCCATTCTACCAAACTAGAAAGATCCTTTCAGAGCTCTTCACAATCCGATTTTGTTCTTGCCACCCTAAATAATTTGGTGTCACCACCAAACTTGGCTGTCTCACTACTTACCCCTCATTTCATTATTGTTTCCAGTCTTTCAGACAAAGAACAGTAGAGGTTGGCCACCTACATGGATCTGCATTATCTATCACTCTGACATAAGATGAAATTCAGAACATGGGACTACTCAGTCGAAAATCATGGACGTGCCACAAATACAGGTTTAAGAGCAAGGGGGACACTACAAGGTATGGAGATTGGTGGGAACACTCTTACAAATCTCCCTTTCCTCCCAACCCAAGGACCCTTTCATTCTGAAGGGAACAGGACCCAGCACCATTAATGCTTAACAGGAAAAAGGGCTGAAACAGACTTGCACTCATTCAGCACCTGACTCTGGATGAAAGCACATGCCATTAAGCATGTTGAAACTGGTTTCGAAACACAGCTGCCCTTTAGGGCATTTGTTTTCAAGGTGGAAAATGAGCATTTAGCTGCTCACGAAATGATGGCCCATGCTAATAAAGCAGGGAGAAGAAAACAGATTTGGACCATTTTTGCTAAACACAAAGCACTGGGAAGGTACCAAAAGGGAAGAATTTCCCATAGCAATTGGAATTAGTAAGCACTTTGGCAGCAGATTACTAGTTTTGTACAGGACCATATAAACGAGGCCATTTTAAAAGCTGGGTCTGTTTCAAGAACACACAAGAGACTGGCATCCCCCAAAGATCCCCTTCATTTTACCTGTCCATTCTTGGCATAGCAAACAGAATTAGACTGAGTATACTTGACAGCAATAGTGGCCACAATCAGATCTCGGATAGCTGGCTCAGGAAGCTGAAACAACAGGGGGAAAAGCAGATCATTAAGGCACCGTGGAGAGTAACTGTGATTTCACAGCACCTGAAAATATAGAAGCATTTGCACAGAAACTGTTTTCTGCTGCTCCAGAAAAGCAAGAAAGGCAAATCCAAGAACTTCCTGGTGGCAAGAGATGTTCAAGAGTGGAATGGACTGCTTCAGAAAGTGAGAGACGTTCCCTCCTCAAGCAGAGGCTGCAGGGTCAGAGGCTTTCAGGGATACCTGCGGGCTTCCTTCCCAGCAGAGGACTGGACCAGATGGCCCTTGAGGGGGATCTCCCAACTCTATGCCCAATTCCTTCCCTAACATGCTGGGCAATGACTTGAATCGCTGATTGGAGTCTTGACCTTAAAAAAATCTTCAAAGTGTAACTTCTCTAACATGAAAAGCTAGATAATTCTGTGGAGTCAAAATGAAATTGCAGGAGGGTTTGTTTGTTTGTTTGTTTTTTGGAAGAGACTACTTCCTAAATCAGGCTGGGAAATAGGGGACTCCCCCAGTCTGGGGACATGGTGGCGCTGCGGGTTAAACCGCAGAAGCCTCTGTGCTGCAAGATCAGAAGACCAGCAGTCATAAGATCTAATCCACACGATGGAGTGAGCGCCCGTCGCTTGTCCCAGCTCCTGCCAACCTAGCAGTTCGAAAGCATGTAAAAATGCAAGTAGATAAATAGGTACCACCTCGGTGGGAAGGAAACAGCATTCCGTGTCTAGTCACGCTGGCCACGTGACCACAGAAACTGTCTATAGACAAGTGCTGGTTTTACGGCTTGGAAACAGCTCCCTAGAGTCAGACACAACTGGACAATTTGTCAAGGGGAACCTTTACTTTTACCTTACTTCCTAAACAGCAGTGAACAGTTTGTTAAAAAAAATTATTAATGGCCAGAATTCTACTGCTTATGTACACAAGCATTAACTATAAAGGTGTAAATCATCATGGCAAACTGCCACTAGATAAGGAGTTCCTGTTTGTATTCCACTTGCATGACCTGGTTCATTATATGGAAGACAAGCACCATTCATACTTAACTGGCAGCAATTTGCTGGAATGATTTATGCTACTCTACTTATGCCACCATACAGAAGCAACAGGATCTGGGCTAAATCCTTCCTCTTCCGATGACATTCTTCTAAGCATATACATACAGTACTCTGCTTGTTAATGTTATTTCCCACACAATTAACCAGAACTGCAATGACGCGTGGTATTCTTTTATTTTTCTAATATCTGACATCCTTTCACTGATTTTAGCAGGATTAAAAACTAGTAAGATAGAGGTAAACAGCTTTTCTTATTATAATTTGGTCAAACTGTAACATTCACTGTCCTCTCCTGCATTTAATTTTACTTTAAGTAGCTGTTCTGCTTTTACCTCAATCTATCATTATATTAACTATGTGCAATAAATATGTGTTAAAATGAGTTGTCTCCTTTCCAAAAGCTCTGAACAGGAAAGGGAAATAGGGGAGTCCCCCAAGCTGGGAAGCTTTTATTCACAGGAGGAAGCCTGCACTGCTGCTATGACTTGCTACTTTTCTACGTTTGGTTGTAACAAAAACTGAAATTTCAGTCATAACTACCATTACACAAGCACAACACTAACTTGAAGTACATTCCTGAGAAAAGCACATCTGAGATGTGTTCTGCAACCTTGATTTCTAATTTCTCCCTAAAGATTTGATGGTAGGCCAGCCCATGTGAAAGAGTATTCAAGAGAGCCATCTGCTGATCTGAAACAATATTACATCAGCAACATTGCACGGACTGTACATGCCTTTGGTGAAAATGACAGGGATGAGGATGGGCTCATAAGTGAGGAGCAACATTTTGCAATGTTGGTAAAACATCAGGCTTTGGATACAAGTTTGCATTGCCGATCTGAAATTAGTGTTGATGTGGACAGCTGAAGTTCCTCTGTGTATCTGGACACAGCCAGAGCCACATATGTACATCTCCGTGTACGAGTATGTAGGACTTAGATTTTACAAACTCTTGCCTCTACCAAACAAGGCAGGAGACACACTTCACCAAGGATGTTGATGTACTTCAGATGACTTACTTATAGACTTCTGTAAATTCAGTCTTGGCTTGGAAACAGACCACACATAGCTCAGCTTGAGATGACTTTTTTTTCTCATGCACTTTAAGCGTACCAAGGCAGGTGTCTCAACCTTCCAACTTGGTACAAGGCATGGTGTTGCACTGGGGGGCGGGGTGTGAGTGAAGGGGGCCGTCTGCCCTGAGAGGCTAGTCATTGACACAAAGGACAGCAATTTTCTCTCTGCTTTTCTGGCCATCTATGACTTCCTTTTAGCTCAGGGGAGCTCAGCATCAGTTTTTTTTCTCATCTTGATTCTTCTTCTTACTCAGGAGTACTGCATGCAGAGGTGTTACTCATCCCTCCATAGAAGGATCTGCCTGTTCAAGATGATTGTGGGGGAGCTAGTGAGTGAGAGCATCAGGAGCTACCCCGCCCTTTCCTCTAGGTGCCATTTTTGCACAAATATCAACAAGGACACTGAGTGAGAGATCAGGTCTGAATCCTGGGAAATTAGTTTGCCAGGTATTTATTCCTAAAACTATGAAATTCCCAAGCCTCTGCCAGATTCACAAAATCCTGGGTCATGAATCTCTCACTGGATTTTTTATCTATCTGTTCTGTACTGCTTGTCTTTTATTGCTAATTACAAATACAAGCACTCTGTAAATACAGGAGGGAGGGAGCATACAACAGCTGCTTTACAGTATATTGGACTCTAAGTTAAAACAAACATAATCATCAAGATATAATAAGCAATTAAACATCAGGTATGTGCATTTGCCCATTAGACTCTTCTTTTGAAGACAAGCTTGTCTCTCTTTCGGGCTGCTGGTTACCACCAGATGATTACAGTGGGGCACTTGCAGTCAAGCACCCCAAGCAAAAGTTCAAGCCCACTCCTACTTCCCAGCTGTTGTTATGTGATATCAAGACACACTCCAGTGCTGGCCCCACAAGTGAGTGACCTCCAAAATGTCCTGTCTTCAACAGCCTTGCTCAGCAACTCTAAACTCAATGTCATCATTTCTCCATTGGGTCAATTTATCTAAAATTCAGTCTTACTCCCACCCACCCCCCGCATCATTGTCTTTTCCAGTGAATCCTGTCTTCTCATGATTTGCCAAAAGTATGATGGCCTCAGTTTCACCATGCTTGATTCTAGGGAGAATTTGGGTTGCCCATGACATCTGTAAAGCTCTCCTCCAGAGCCATATTTTGATTTTCTTCCTGTTGGCTTTCTTCATTGTCCAGCTTTCACATTTGCACATATTAAACAGGAATATGGTAGTGTAGATACTCGTCTCTATGGTCTCCAGTGACATGTCCTCACAACTGAAGATTTTTTTTCTCGTTCCTTCATAGCTTCCCTTTGAATCTCACTATTCTTCTGATTTCTTTCTGCTATTTCTATTTGGAATGATGGCTAAACCAAAGTACAGAAAAACTTCACTGATTTAAATTTCTCCATTGATAACATTCAAGTTGTCAATGAAGAAATTCAAATTGTTAAATTGCATCATCCCAAGAAAGCATCTTCAAGATTGACTTTTGTTTGGCATCGTGGATAGACGAGACAAACTATATTTTGTCTGGAGTTCACAGTCACAGAAAGGGGAAAGCAATGCAGATTTTTGTCCTGCGGCAGAATTTGCAGCACTCACAGGATGATACTTATGCATTTGGTGACAACAAACCTTTGCCTTTTAGCTTTCCAACAGTCATCTTGACTTTTGGCCTTAGTCAGCCAAAAAGGAACATAATGTCTTTTACAGTTTTCATGGGCCCTGATCTATGGGAAATGGATGGACATCTGGCAGTCTCTGGCAGGAGTTGACAAGGGTATTTGCACCCCGGCAATAGAAAAAGGTTCTTTGCACAGTTATAGTAGAACAGTTGTGATTTAAAATTCATGGGTGAGAAGGCATGAAGTTCAAAATGATGGACAGTGTAAGATGTCTCTTCTATTACCATAGCTTCCATCAAAAAAAGAGAGAGACAACTGTAAACTTAAAGCAAATGCCAACCAAGAAGTTACTGATTCAAAATGTTCAAGCATAAACTCTACAATTGGTATCAGTTGCATTTATATTAATTAATTAATATCCCGCCTATCTGGTCAGTTATGACCACTCTAGGCCATTTTTGAAAATGGCACATGTTGTGATTGAAATGTATTGCCAATAGCAGCCAGTAGCCAGATCCAACCAATGCATGTTGCAGGATTATGCCAATAAAGTAACATGAACTTGATCTCCTTCGAAGCCAAGCAAGGTCCAAGAGCCTTTCAGCTTTTAACTTGGGTTCTCTGCCCGCTTGCCCAGAGGTTCAATGGATACAAGCTGAAAGAACATTCTGTTTCCTTCCACTAAGCATCTGGTTGTCTGCATCAATCCTTTGGCCTTTCAAGAATTGTGGATTTTGGACACCCTGTATCTCCTATTAGAATGATCAATAGTTAGAGAATCCTCCAAAATACCTGGAGGGCCAAAGGCTAGAACCACTGGCCGTCTTGGTTATGCAGATCTTTTTCAATGTTTTTTTGTTCCCTGATCTTCCCTTTCTCTGCCCTTGCTTTGTAACAGGTAACTCTAAAGTCCTGTCTAGGAATGTATAGCTGGTCTCTGTTCAGATCGAATATCTGTATCACTGGGTCCCCTGAAAGCCCTCTGTGACCACAACATTGCTTGGGGGGTGTGTGTGGCGAAGATGTGCTTATTGCCTGGGAAATGGCAGCAGAACTGTAGTCAAGTCTTCTACTCTGTCCCATACTTCTTGGTCCACAGGCAACTTGTGCAAGACCTTGTGTTTTCCCAATTTTGGCTACCAGTACAATATTAAGATACTATGCTTCCTTTATTTTATTTTAATGTTCTATTGATATTATTTTCAAGTGTTGATGTTGTATTATTTTATTGTCCATTTTTGTATTGTTTGTCTTTATACTTTGTTTTATGGTATTATGTAAACTGCCCAGAGTGGCCTGGGTTGCTAGATGGGTGATATAGAAATTAAATAAATAAATAAAATAAAAAACAAATAAACAAACAAATCCCATTTCACGTGAGCCTAATCCTCACCAGTCTTTCCCTAAGGAAAAAATCCATTTTAAAAAATATATAATTGGGGGGGGGGTGAGGAATGGGAGAAGGTGTTCTTATTATTTTTAATGGAGTGGGTGGTGGCCCAGGGTTGCCCAGGGGTCCGTTTCACACCAGGTATATGCTGTCACTCAGTTCTAGCCCCTCTGCCCTACCATTGAACTGAACCAATTGTCATTCTCTCTAGATTTGATTTCCTGACAGGAGAATTTGAAAAAGCTAGGTTTGTTAGTCGGGCAACTTATTCCCATACTTACATTTTTATTTTTAGTAACAATGTTCTTGAACAGGGACCGGTCAATCACACCATCATTCCTCTTCTGCATCAGATGCAATCCGAAGAGAGTGCGGATTTCAGTCTCATCTGGCTCATAAGATGGGTCCATCTAAAGGCAAGAAAATGCACAAAGGTCACCTCAGTACCGCTAGCCTTGCCTTGCCTGCAGGTAGCACTTCCCTGACACCTCCCTTTTCACTGCAAAGCAGCTATGCTAATAGGAGGTTTTCATGGATCCCATGGCTTCAAATAAAATCTGGCCCTGAATTTGACCTGTAGCCTCTTCCTAAAATGCTACCAGCATTTGCTGGTTTGAAATTTGAGTCAAAGTTAATGACTGTCTCATGAATGCAGGGACTATTTTAAGAAAAGTCTCTTATGCATTTTGAGGAGAATTCCAGATCACGTCTCAAATATTCATTTAAATCAACCTTCTTTACATACCATGAAGCATTTCAAGCCCTCACCTGGAGCACACAGTAGCTTCCATTTTTCTTTTTCGATAAAATTTTGAGGGCTTCTTCATTATACCCTGGAGCCACAACACCATCAGATACCTGAAAGCACAACAAAGAATAAGCCATTACAAGATGGCATCCTTGCACACACAAAAGCACATAAATGCTCTTCAAGCATTTGATTATCCTATGTTTGAATGCTTAATAACATCAACGCTTGTTAAAAGAAAAAAACTTTTTTTTTCTAATTCTTCAGAAAGTGCCTAGTAAGCCATAACAAAGAGTAGGTACAGACTCTCTGTCACCTCTCCTCTGCTTTACAGGCATCAGAAGTCACGGAAGACTACAAGTCTAGATATTTCCAATGGATAGTATAACAATGCTTTCAATAGCCTGAAGAATGAAAACAAATCTTTACTGTACAGAGAGAAGGTGGGTGTCTTTATTGAAGAAGTTTGTGAAAACCTACCATGTTTCCCCGAAAATAAGACAGGGCCTTATATTAATTTTTGTTCCAAAAACTGCATTAGGGCTTATTTTCAGGGGATGCTTTTTTTTCCAAGTACAACAATCTAGGTAAAGGTAAAGGTTCCCCTTGACAATTTTTGTCCAGTCGTGTCCGACTCTAGGGGGCGGTGCTCATTCCCGTTTCCAAGCCATAGAGCCGGTGTTTGTCCGAAGACAGTTTCTGTGGTCACATGACCAGTATGACTTAAGACACAGAATGCCATGACCTTCCTACTGAGGTGATGCCTATTTATCTACTCACATTTTTACATGCTTTCAGACTGCTAGGTTGGCAGGAGCTGGGACAAGCGACGGGAGCTCACTCCGTCACGTGGATACGATCTTACAACTGGATTTGATCTTACGACTGCTTGGTCTTTTGACCTTGCAGCACAGAGGCTTCTGCGGTTTAACTTGCAGTGCCACCACAACCTGCATACAACAATCTACGTTTATTCAAATATAGTCATGCCATCTTCTTCTGGTTGCTGCACAATGGTGGAGGGCGGGTTTTCACTTAACTGGGGCTTATTCTGGGGGAAGGGCTTATATTACGGGCATCCTGAAAAATCATAGTAGGGCTTATTTTCAGTTTAGGTGTTATTTTCAGGGAAACATGGTAACTTGGGTAGCTAAGCAGCACTCTTTGGGCCCCTAGCAGTTTCATTCTGACCATCAGCATTCCCAAAGCCAGTGTACTTTAGAAAATCCCTCATCCTTTGGGATACCGTCCTATATTGCACCACTGAGGAACACATATCTAATAACACACTCTTTTGCAGCTTTGAAAATTAGCCAATAGAATAAAAATGGTCTTCTGTATGTCTACACTGTGTTTTTTTCTCTCCTTGGTATTCGTATCCACAAAACACCTGCCATTATTGAGCTTTTCTGTAACAGTTTATAAATTCAAAGGGGAATCTCATCATGCCCAATCTAAGTACCAGCTTGGGAGCCTGCCAAGATTTTGACACCTTAGGAAAACAATCCATCTTGTTCTGTAAAAGGCAGCCGGTGCAAGAGACTTGGGGGAGGTAGACAGGGACAAAAAGGCCCCAGGCAGTGGCACAGAAGTCAGTATCCATCCATCTACCACACCTCATTATCTCCGATGCACACTGCATACTGGTCTACATGCCAAGGGAGATTAAGCAAGCCATGTTCTCCCCACATAAAATATTTCTGCTCAGAATAAATCTTGTACCACCTCACCTGCAGAGCTCTTCTTGAGCTATCTTTTCCTGCATTGTAGTCACTATTTCTTTTCCAGAAGAGTCTGCTGTGTGCACATCACTCTTTTGGAAAACAGCTTTTGTTGCTGCACTCTCCGTCACACAAGAATACACATACATGTTCACGTACACATATAACATGGAAGACACGCAGCAGGAAGACACATCTCATATAGGAGAAAAATTGTGTCTGTCTGCAAACAGGGCCTGGTCCCTCACCCACCCTGCCACCTACTGTCATGTGGCGGCAGCCCCAGCTGCAGCTGCTGCCACAGTTGGGTTGACACAGTTACTGACCTCTCTGGAAATGATCTTTGCTGTAGGGACATCACAGATATCGGAGAGAGCAATGAAGTCACCAAAAGATGACATTCTATCGGCACCTGGGAAAAAAAAGGAACTTTCTGAACCAAGTTGTTTGCCTTCCGGGGAACTTTGCCCAAGACCTTAACTTCTAAATGTGCATCCCAAGCCTAGGTGGGTGTGCTCAGGATTTAGTCCAACTATGCCTGAAGCTTACTTCCAGGTAACTGTGTATATTACGGCCTCTGAGAGTAAAAAAGGCTCAATTAATCAGAATGCCAAAGGACAGAGAAGGTGCCTCCCCAAAGAATGTGAGGACTGTGAACCCATTTGACTGCCCACTGGGCAAGGACGGCGCTCTGTTGGTCGATCCTTCAAGCAGCAAAAGCACCACTAGATTGCTTCCAACGTGAACCACCACCACCAGGGTACCTGTTTGAAATCAAGCCATAGCAGAGGCTGCCACACAACCGTCGTGGACAAGTGGCATGTCAGGTGGATCTGACCATTTCCACAGTTGTCATGATTTTTCCAAAGCTGTTTTACAGCACAGTGAACAGTCATCAAAGCTGTCTATTGTGCTGCTGCTCCACTGAACAAGTTGCTCTTTGATGCAAGACATAGTTGCCTTGCTACAGGCATTGTTGCATTGTTAACTTGTATACATTTTTGTATACATTAACTTGTATACCCAAGGTCATTTTTAAATACTGTACACACAAATGTATCTGTAGCTACACATGCACAAACACAAACACACACACACTTTCTCCTCTGTTTGCTACTTGACAAATATTATATACTAAATCAGCTGCCTGACTAGGCAAACCCCTTGCTATTTCATGGTGACTGGAGTCTATAAAATAAAGAGGGCAGCAAGAGGCCTGCAGGTCTGCACAGAGCAAGAGTATAGAGGTGGGGGTGGGGGCGTCAGGTCAGCGCTTGGAATTTACCTACAGACTGGTCACTGCTGGTCTATGCTGTCATTCTGCAGAGAGGACAGCAGTTCTACCGGAGGTCATTAACATCTAAGAAAGAGACCACACCCACTTTTGAAACCTCCGCTCACCTCTTGCACGTGCATAAGCAGCTGCCAAGGGCGTCAGGGTGGACTGCATGTCATGCACCATACAGACTTGAGCTTCTTCTCCAGTGAGGGGCACTCCAACAGCTGCACCTGGTGGACAAATCAAGGAAAGGAAAGGAAAGGAAAGGAGAGGGTTAGAAGCCCCCAACTGTCCCCTGCAACATGGAGCAGGATCTCATCAGCAGTGAATTGCAATTACAGTAGGTCCACTGAATCAATGGAAGTTATAGAGGAGTTGGCTCATTAAATTGTTACTGAGCCAATGGGCCTACTCTAGTTGCAACATACTACTGGATTTCAGCCACGGTATTATTTCTGTATGTCACTGCCACACGTCCAAAGATTACCCCTGTTTTGTCTGAGTAATGCACACCACACGTTTTCCAACACAGAGACATGCACAAGAGCTCTGCAGGGTCCAATTTCCTTAGAAAGACATGCTTGTGTGACGACGGTCCCAGTGCACCTTGACAGGTGGAACAAAATGCACTTTGACACATGTACCCAAAAAGTGTCTTTTTTTATTAGCTGACGGCATAAAGAGCTAGAGAATACCAACCACACACCACAGGTCATGACAAGACATTGGAGCACTTACCTGCTGGGCTGACATGTTTAAAGGAGGCTGCAGCTGGCATGCCCAAAGCCTGCTTGAGCTCCTTGACCAACTGCCAGGCATTCAGAGCATCACACAGGTTGATAAACCCCGGGGAGCCATTCAGAACTGTGAACAAATTGTGAAAGCCCACTCAGTCATAACATTCTGCTCCTTCCAGAGGGAACCCTGGCAATCAAAGTCTGAAGTACACTGAGCAAGCAGTTTTTTATTACCTTCTGCTTCAGAACTTAATGTTTTGAGCAGTCTACATATTTTCCCCTTAACTCCATCAAAGTTAAGCAGGCAGTGAGAGGGGAGAAAAAGAAAGATGTTGCTGTTTTTCAAATTTTACCTAGTAAGCGTTATATAGGAAAGTACACCTGAATCAATGTTTTAAAATAGTTAAGAAAGGGTGATCTCCTCACATGTTTTTTTTAAATTATTTTTATTTTCCTTTCCTCCACTCAGCTAAAGATAAGTGAAGGTGAAAGTATGTATGGCTATTCTAACATTACCCAAAGAACTCAATGGTTTCACAAGGATTTGAAATTAACTCTGTGAAATCCTTGGCTCAACACTCTAATTACCACTCTCTATGCACCATATTCAAATTCTGTGCAACAATTCTACTAGGCTGCTTCGTAGGATTATGACAAAAATTACAACAACTTTTAATTGTCATGAAGCGCTTTGAATTCTCAAAAGCAGTGTGGTATCACAATGGCACTACTGCAATGTTATTCAAAATGGGCTTTCAGTCCATCTTACCTGACAGAGGAAGTTTAGGCCTCAAAGTGTAGAGCTGAGCGGGAGTCTGGTGCGGATTCATGCCATACCTGAGCGGAAGCTGGGACACTCCTTGGCTGTACTCCTTCCTGAAGTAATCAGAAATGGCTGTGTCGTACTGAGCTGTGTGAGTGAACGCCTGGTGAAAGAGTAGAGGGAGGCTCAGCATCCAAGCTGCAAAACAAGGCATGACTCCAAGAAGGAGGGAGCACTGCGGTGTACCTTCAGCGCCAACTGCTGTCGCGTTTCCAAGGTGGTACCTCTGTCACTGGAGGCTTTCATTTCCTTTGCTACAGTGTTGTAGTCCCCGGGATCACAGAGGACGGTGACACGAGCATGGTTCTTGGCGGCAGCTCTCAGTAAGGCGACACCTCCTACAGAAAAGCAGGGAAGCATCACCAGGCCTCTATCTGGACACCACGAACCTGTCCCTCCTCCCCGTAGCTCATAATCTCTCACACGTGGGTCCTGTGGGGGTTTATTGTACTGTACAACTACTACAGTTAGCTTAATTCAGTGGAATCTACTATAAAACAAACCTTCTCAGATGTGGTATTCTTCACATGTTCTGGACTACAATTCTCATCATCAGAAGTGACGGTGGCTGGGGATGATTGGAGCTGCAGTACTAAATATCTTAAGAGCACCAGGTTGAGGAAGTCTGCATTCACATAATGTACACAGCTAGAAGCTAGAATGGTTCTGCAACAGCTCCTGGACCAGCACCTCAAAATAATTCTCAAGTTATTCAAAACAAGTATTTGCTGGACAGCTCAATGGTTTAGGTCTCTGACTGCAAAGCCAGAGGTTGGGAACTGGATTCCCCACTGTGCCTCCCTGAGAGGGGCCGCACTCGATGAGCCACAGGGCTATAGTTCTCTGCAGTTCTAAGACAATGATGATTAAATATATTCATCTGACTGCCACGGACACATTATTTTCAGAAAGTCCTTGAGCATTACAGTTTCAGTTTGCAGCTGTCCATGATCACACCCAGCTCCTCCCCTGCTGAAGAAGTGGGCATGCATGGAAAGGGCGGAAGGTTTGTTTGACCTACCTATGTCAATCTGCTCAACTGCTTCTTGAACCGTCACATTCGGGGATGCTACAGTCTTGACAAAGGGGTAGAGGTTGCAGACCACAACTCTAGGAAAAACAAAAGTATGGAGTCACTTGAAATATAAAAGAACAGCTGTGCAGTGCAGCATAATTTGAATGTTCTTCCACTCTCAGACATCATTATTAGTGTTGTTCTTTCACTTGTCCTGAACAAAAGACTCTCATGAAGAACTAACGCAATGGCAAAATTTAATTAATCTCTGCGGTGGGTCACTTCATGGTTGAAGTTAACATTGTCTTTCCTAAAACATGCTCTGGGGGGGGGGAGTGTTCACACAACCATGCCACTGACAGCTGTTGTTCTAGGATGGGGGGGAGGAGGGGGAGGAGGCAGACAAGTAACTTTTCAAGTCAGGATCGGAACTTCCCTTGCAACCCCACGGAGACTTCTGCACCAGTTGCAAGTCACTGCCTCATCTCAGCAGTGTGAGGGAACAGGTTATTTTAATGGAACAAGAACTGTGGGCAAAATCCAGTCAAATGCGAATACTTTTCACCCTTTTTCATTTCAACAAAGATGAGAGTTCAATATATGCTTACGTCTCCCACAGAAATCAATGGAATAGGAAACATAATAGCTCACCATGTAAGTCAGATTGTGAAAAATAACTCAACATTTACCCAGTTAGAGATAAAATGTAACAACTGATAACTTTTCTGTCAGTGGATTATTAGCCAGGTAACTGGCTTTTAAAAAAACAGACACAGAATAACAAATGGATGAGAAATTTCCTCAGAGATCCAATGGCAGCAGGCGTGATTTCTGGATTTCAGCAAAATCTGAGGGCTGCTCCATTACATGCCAAAGTGAAGAAAGACAATCATTCTTTGTTTTACAGTAAAGCAAACAAAGCCATTACACAAACTAAAGAAGAACAGATATGACAACAAAAATGCAAAGCCAAAAGCTATAGTTACCACTGTGGTGACCCACATCTAATATAGAACATATCACCAAACATCTGCATGTGATAGGTGAGTGTATGGAGGGAAGAGTAGGCATCTAATCAGTGATAATTAATATATTCTAAACATGGGAACCATGTTACATTTTTCACTACATAGCAATGTGGCAACCTGGGACCCAAAAGACTGAGATCACTGTTTTATAAGAAAATGGAAGATGGTGTGGACAATCAAATGCATGATCAAATGGTGATGGATAGGTGTGTTTTCTTTGGCTTTTTCAAATGTTGCAGGCACTGTCTGTATAAATGTCTGCATTATTTGAAATTGCAACAACCTGCAGGGGAGAGCATCCCCAAATATATATCTTTTCCTAGCTGGCTAGGACCTGGAGCGAGGCAAACCCTGGGCTGAATCATGGCCAACATCCCCAAGATATTGAGAAAGGCAGCTTCAAAACCGCTAGGGCATGCCACCCCCAGGAAGAGGGCAGGGGAAATCCCAGGGACAATGAATGATGGAAAATCACAGCAACAACCATCTCACTCGGGCCTCCTATTGAAGAGCTAGGTAAACATGTGAAGAACAGGGCACGCTAGCTCAGTTCCCTCCACTGTCAGTCTGCCACCGTGAAAAGTGATAGATGTGAAGCTGGGAGTCTCTTCTATCCATTTTCATGAGTGAAAGCTGGCTGTAAGAAAACAACAAAGTGTTTTGTGGCCACTTAAAGGTGACCCAGAGTTAGTCTTGCATAACTGTTTGTGGCCACGAGCTCGCTTCCTTAGATGCATAGAATAAGGGCTTTGGGGCTGAAATCTTACATCTGGACAAGTTGTTTTACACCCATGAAAAGCCTATGCCAAACAAAACTTGCTAAGTTTTCAAGGGGCTGCAACATGTTGGCAAAAGAAAAGCAAAAATATTGCAGCATTATATAAAAACTAACCATTTCATTTTAGTGTGTGTTTTTGTGGATAAAAGTCCACTTCCCTCGGACACACCACAAGGCTCTGCTGTTTGATTGATGCATGAAATCTTCTTCCTGTGGGATTTGTTATTTCTGTAGGTGATGACTGTTCCAACTCTTCCATTAATGTGCTATTATACTTATAATATCAATATACTGTACAGTATATTGACGATTACCTCATTAGATGAGGAAATCGCTTAACAATGAGTATTTTGTGACTACTATAGCAATCGCAAAACAATGTTTGTATGGCGTTTTTCTTTTAACGACAATCGGTTCCCTGCTTTGGGAACCAATTTTTTGCTTAACGACGATCAAAACAGCTGATCATCAGGGTTTCAAAATGGCCGCTCACTGTGCAAAATGGCTCCCCGCTGTGTTTTAAGATGGATTCCTCGCTATACAGGCACCGGAAAATGGCCCCCCTATGGAGGATCTCCGCTGGACGCTGAGGTATTTTGCCTACTGGAACGCGTTGAACTAGTTTTCAATGCATTTCAATTGTTTTTTTTAATTTCGCCTGGCGACTATTTCATTCTACAGCAATTTTGCTGGAACGGATTATCCTTGTAAAGGGAGGCACCACTGTATACCTAAATAACACAGTATGGTTTTAAAAACGGGGGGACAATGGTCCCAGGATGGACAAAGTACACTCTTCTAAATGTGACTGGATTCCAACTCCCAGGATGCCTTAGGGAGCCAATGGAAATTGCTCTGCAACAATATCTAGAAGGGGACACTTTACCCTTTTTGGCCAAACACCGTCCCTTTGGGCTTATGCACTTGGGTACTGCAGAACTGGATTACTGTTTTATAACTAGATGCTGAAAAAGCAAAATTCCCAGTAAGGATTTTCCTTTTTCTTTTCCACTTAGAAATAGTATTGTGGTGAATACCTTTCACCTATCAAAATACAGCCCTGACAACTGCTTTGTGTTTGGGTGAGAAATGGTAAACTCATGAAAAAAGCAGTTAATTTCTGGGATCTTACCTTGTTTGGGGTCATTTTGTGAATGGTAGTGAGCACAACAGTGTATCTTGTAGACCACTTTGACTGCTGCCACTAGTGTTGTCAAACTTAGCATAACAAAAAACAGCCTGAATTCAAGCTTTTGTTTTTGTTTTTTGTTTGGTTATGCAAAGTTTGACATCCTTTTTCTTGCTGGCAACGTGGGCGTGATATTGTGCAGTAGTAACAGGCTATAGTAAATGGCCGCCTAGAGTAGTCCACCGCGACTAAGTTTGACATCCTTTTTCTTGCTGGCAACGTGGGCATGATATTGTGCAGTAGTAACAGGCTATTTCCTAGTCTTTTGAATCAGGATAAAGAAGCACAATATCCAGCATAAATAAACAGGAGGTGTTGGGTTTTTTTCTTTGTTTTTTAAGAATTGAATCTTATTTAGTTAATCAATCAGTACACAGAGGGTCAATAAGAGAGGAAGAGTAACATATCAGATGAGGGAGGAACAGACAAACAAAAATTTGGGTCGGCCCTGAATCTTTGCACTATTTATGTTTGAAACTGAGCTGCATGTTGAAATACAAACAGACTACTGTGTAAATCTCAAAAGGGTATGTTTGCTCATGTTTCAACATAAAAACGATCTAGAGTGTAAAGCCCATAAATCTTTCCTGCTCTTTTTCTGTTTCTTCCCATTCCTGGCCCTCACTGATACAATAACTCTTACAAAACATTAAGTTCATCTGATATCTTCTTGAAGCTAGGACATGGCTGAAGAGGAACATTTCATCAGTGGAACAAAGACTTGGTTCCTATTGCAAATCAGCCTCCAAAAAGTGATGTCAGATGTTTACTTCATGATCATTTACTAATGTACTATTATGGTTTAAAATTTTTACCTTACAAGGCTGAAATCCAATTTATCCATGTCAGCTTTATCTTGTGGCGTATCACGAGCCAGTATACCTAGTGACAGTGGTGGGAGAAGATACTTAGAAGGATGCAGGAAAATTGGTTTCTGATTAACCATGCTGTCCTGTTTTCAATCTCTGAAGTATGCATCAATTTTTTTCTTATTACATAAATAAATCCCATTTTCCTAATAACTAATCATTGTTCTTTAGCATTCAAATCTTGATATATAGCTATTAATTCACACAGCTTTATCTTAAGTAGGTCTACTGTGAGTGAGACTTCACTCTATCCATCTCTGTATATATGTGTGCCAATACCAATAGCATTAAATCAAATTGTTATTACAAGTGGAGTACACCCACTGTGATGAAAGGGACTAGTCAACATTCACATAAGTCCCACTGAATTCAATGGGTCTACTCTAGCTGGCACTAAAATTGGATTTAGCCATTAGCCTGCAATTGACTGCTTGACTCAAAGGCTAAAGAAATCTTTGCAGCCCAATCCTATGCATGTTTATTTAGAAATAAGTTCCATTGATCTCAGTAGGATTTACTCCCTAATAATGGTGTATAGAATTATAGTATCAGAGAAACTGTTTGGGATATAATTAGTCAAGACCTCCTGAAGACAGATGGCCTACATTCCTTACACATTTTAATGTGCTATCTCTAGGCTAAGATACTTTTACAGTGTCAAGTCTTTCCAAAGTCCACTTTCTCCATCTTGGGAAAAGGGCACTTGCTTATGAAAACTCATGGCATAAGAAAGCAACTGGACTCTAAGGCCTGAACTATATATTAAGGAGAATGGCATGACACTGCCCTTCAGGGACTGTACCACTTCAGAACACAGGTGGGAATCAAATAAGCAAATGTTCCTGGATGCTGCAGCTATTTTTTAAAAAAACTTTCATACACTGGGAGAGTATAGACAAACTCTCAGCATGCTAACTTTCTACAAGACAAATTTTTAATTTGAGGGAAATATACAAATTAAGTCACTCTCTGCCTGCATTCTGTAAGGCCTGTATCTCAGGATCCCTCTGAATCCTTACCATGTTGAAATGCTGCCTTTAGATTTCTAACATGAATGATTTAAACAGCTGCAAGTTGGGTATAGTCAAAACATATGACAACTGCAGAAGACATATATCCTCAGAATCATTGTCCGGCAAGTAAAAATGGGCTCAGACAGGCCATGCTAGACAGCGACAGAGTGAAGTGCTTAGTTCTAATACCTACGCATGATGGTCACCGAGCAGAATGTCAGTGACCTGCATTCTGAAGGAATGTAACCCAAACAAATAGTGACATTATTTGTTGAGGTACTCAGACCACTGTCATGATTGTTTACCCAATCACAAAATAAGGCTTTATTTGCTCCTGCTTACTTCCCTCATGCAAAATTGCTCCAGTTCTGTGTTCAATTGAAACAGAAGAAACAGAGCTGCAGGGACCCTTTTTGTTATTCCAATGATTGCTTCCTGTATCACAGTCCAGGAAGTATGGGAGTCAGGTTTCCACACTTCCTGTAGTGCTTGTAGTGCTTAAATCCCTGCTTGGCCACAGAAACTCACTGGAAAGGGTGGCGCTGATACAACCACTCCTTAAGTATTTCGTATTCCTTGGCAATCCTACTATGGCTGCTGTAATTTGGAATCAATCATGCATAGCACATGCACAGGGACCATTAAAGGAGGTGTAGATAGCATTTCAACAACAGAAAGGATCGTAGTTTCCAGTTGAGGTAGATCAGAACCTAACTCCACTACCTGACTTAAAGATGGTAACCAGTAATGAGTCACATTAACTAAACATTACTCAATTTGCATAAAGGCAGTTAGAGGCATGTATTATCTTTACATTACTGTTTTAAAAGTCTGATTGTTGCTCCTTGTTACACAGGTAAGTGAAAAGTAAAAATAACTTTACTTTTTAAAGTGATTGTGCTGATTTCTGGCTCAAAACTCATCTGCTATCCCAGTGAAAAAATGGCTTTAGATTATTTGCAACCCAAATGCAATGCAAACTTCGTACGACTTCCAATGCAATGCAAACAACTTAAAAGAGACACAATCTGTCTTACACAATGGGACCCTGTGTTAACATCCATCTTACCTGCATGTACTGCAGGATGAAGGGTCTTCACACGCCCTCCCAACATTTCTGGAAAGCCAGTAAGATCAGAAACATCTCTGTTGAAAGGGAGAAGGAGAAGTCAGATGGGCGCTCTCTCATTCGTCACAATAAACTGACACAACTGAAAGATCAATCCATCATTTCAGAAAAGAGCCATTTGAGAACACAAATGGAAATGTTCAAGAAGTGGAGAAATATATGCCTATTTTGGGGCTGTCGGGGATGTACAAAATTCACCTGGAACTGTCAACATCCACAAACTGAATAATGATATCCACTTTACGTTAAAGCTTTAGTGTTAATACAAACATAAAAGTGGATTTATAAGGCTTCTCCATCATCCTGCCAAGGACGCTGTGAGGAATCACCATCGCCTGTCACAAAGACTGAGAGAAAGAAGGATCTCTTTTAAATCTACCAAATAATTCCACGGCCGAGATAGCATCTGAATCTAAACTCCTGAGCATAACCACAAAATTCTGTACAGAAAATATACTTAATCAAAGGCATGGCTTGGTTCTAAAGAGTAAAAGTACAGAAATCTTGATATAAGGAACTATTCTTTTTTCCCCATGTGGACGCAGCATTTAGTATTCTCACATGTGGCCTCCTCTTGTCTTCATCAATCAGTATGCTGATGGCTACATCCACTCCCCTGCTCCCCCACTTTTTCCACTTAAAAACTAAATAAATTCTGTATACACTCCATGACATAACAAGGTCAAAGAATCCATGATTTGTGAGTAGATTTGAAAAAATTAACTTGAAACCTTGAAGGACATTTTCAATACAAGTGTTGAGGAGGCATACATTGCTTATTTTCAGACTAATTTTTTATCATGGTCTTCAATGTGTTCTTTGTTTAAATGCTGTTCTCAATCAACAGAGCTTCTTTTCTTAATGGGACATGGACTTAGCTAGATAATCAATTACATCAAAAGGACAGGGAAACATTGCAAATCTCTTTTGAGACAGAAAGGTCCTTGCTCCAAATCTCTAACAAGCATTTGATGCCTTTCTCATGACTAAGAACAAAGAACGTATTTTTTTTTCTCCAGTTAAAATGATTATCTCCAGGGAGACTATTCAATGGAAGTATTCAAGATGATCTAAACCTAAAACAACAAAACTCAAATTACCAAATAAACACCATCTTCAGATACTAGTCTTAGCTTACATTTCAAAGTAACATTTACATGAAAGTTAAGATACAAATATTTTCATAATATTGTCAGAATCCTTCAGGTTATTTATGGCAACATAAGTGCAACAGTATGAACTGCAGCAGCAAAACTACTGCTAGTCACTGCTTGTATTTTTTGTCACATGCTGGGCAAGTGACTTGGCATGCAATGTGGAACACAAGCTGTGACTAATAACCAGTAGTAAACCATCCCTATGATTTAAACCAGCCGCTCTCAAAACTTGTTTTGGCCATGGTCCTCTTAGCTCTTCTCAGGTTCCAGGGCCCTCTGTCAAACAAGGATACAACACAAATGAATAGAAAAATAGAATAGAAAATAGTTTAGTTGGTGGCCCCCTTCAAATGTGCCAGGGATCTCCAGGATGGCTGATTTAAACATGCTTACCTGGCTTATGCTCTTGGGAGGATTCAAATGGGTACAAATACCCAAATGCACTGGCATGGAACTTATCCCTTGTAAGCCATGATTCCCCCAGAATCCTGGTTTAACATTTCTTTCCAATACAGCCACTCATTATGTGTGCAGTGAGCTTCAGGTGGAAAAAACTGTCTTGTGTGTTCAAACCTCATGATGCCCAAATAAAGAAAGATACCAGTTGTTTCAGAGTGAAACTCCTCAGTCTCGATAATTTAGCATTTAAAACACCTAAAGCAATGGCAAGAAGCTGCAAAACCCCACTAGTACCATTCAAAGCAAGGCAGAATTCCAGTATGCATGCTAGAAAAATTTGGTCAAAACCTAGTAAACTGTGCTCCCTCTCAGATATTCTCAAGCGCTTCCAAATTATGTTTTGCTACTGTGGGAACAAGCCCCATATCTTTACACTCTTTCCTCACTTTCCCTATTTTCTGGTATACAACAAATTATGTTCTACCTCATACACAAACACTAAACTGTAATTTGTGCCTTCCATGTAATAATTAATTATGGGCCATCAAGTTAATTCTGGCTTACAGTAAGCCTTCCAGAGGTTCTCAAGATATAAAGTAGTGAGTACTGGTTTACTAGCCCCTCCTTCTGAGGATGCTCTGGGACCATGTAGTCTGGGTTTGTGGTTCCAGAGCATCCTCCAACTCACTGAACTACCCAACAAGAATGATACAACAGTCATTCTAACGATGGTTTTCTGCAACTCAGGAAGTAACTTATTCAGCGCAGTGCATGATGGGATGGGGAAGGAAGAGCAAAAGTGCAGGAACTGTCCCTACTAGACCAATCTGTGACTTGTCATTGGTATATCCAGTGGCAACAAGTCAGTCAATGGCAATCAACCTGAATTATTTTCTTTATTTAAAAGATTTTAACCTCTTCTTTCTTCTTAAGGAGGACCCAAGGCAGCTTACATCATTAAAAGACAACATTTAAAGCTAAAAATAATAAGTATACAAATAATAAAATGGATCAAACAAATACCACACTAAAAATGGTGAGCAGAAGCAACATCAAAACATTTGTTTGTTTGTTTGTTCCATTTTTACCCGGCCCGTCTAGATTTGGGAATCTACTCTGGGCGGCTGACAAAATATAAAGATAAACAAATCATTATAATAACATTGATGATAAAAAGCAGAAAAATCAATAAAGAAAACAGGATCCAAGATGGGATAAAGAAGCTATGTAATGAGAGAGGGGAAGGCCTGCTGGAAGAACCAAATCTTCAATGTGTTTTTAAAAATTCCCAGCGAGGGTGCCAGTCGAATCTCCGGGGGTAAGATGTTCCAAAGATGAGGGGCCACCACCGAGAAGGCCCGGTTTCTTGTTATATCCTTCTGTGCCTCTCTCGGGGTTAAGCCAATTGGTCTGGCTTGATTGAGTGACACAAGAAAAGCTAGGTAGAGACAGGTGCTGTGCCAGGTATCGATGCCCTAAATCATTTATGGCTTTATATGTATCCTTCTGTGCCTCTCTCGGGGTTAAGCCGATTGGTCTGGCTTGATTGAGTGACACAAGTAAAGCTAGGTGGAGACAGCTGCTATGCCAGATATCAATGCCCTAAATCATTTATGGCTTTATATGTAAGCATTTGTACTTTGAAATCAATGCTGAAGCGAATGGGCAGCCAGTGTAAGACCGCCAGAGTGAGGGAAACATGTTGGTTCTTTTCACCCGTTAATAATCTAGACCATTTGTAGCTTCCATATCAGTCTCAAAGGCAGCCCCACATAGACAGCATTGCACTAGTCTAATCTTGAGATTACGAGTGCATGGACCAGAGTGGTGAGTGCCCCAACATCAAGATAGGAGCGCAGCTGGGCAATCCACCAAAGATGTATGTGGGCGGAGTGCACCACAGATGCCACCTGGGACTCCATGGTAAGCGCTGGGTCAAGATGGATCCCCAAACTGTGGACCACACTCTTTGTGGTGAGAGTTTCCCCCCAAAACTAAGCAAGCTTCCCAAACCACTGGTAGAAGGGGCGCCCTCCCTCAGGACCTCCATCTTGTCTGGGTTCAACCTCAGTCCATTCTCCTGCAACCATTGCTATACGGCCTCCAGGCAGCACTCAAGGGATGCAACAGCAACCACCGCTGTTGGAAAAAAGGAGATGTAGAGCTGCATGTCATCAGTATACTGATTACACGAAGCGCCACATGCCCTGATGACTGCACTCAGCGGCCTCATATAGATATTAAACAGCATTGGAAAGACAATCAATCCCTGAGGCACCCCACAATTGAGGAGCTATGGGCCGACACATCCTCTCCAAGCTGCACTCTCTGCGAACAGTCCTCCAAAAAGGATTGGAGCCAAGCAAGAACTAGGCCCCACACCCCAATTCAGAGAGCCTCCCCAGGAGGATACCATGGTCGACGATATCAAAGGTGACTGAGATATCAAGGAGAACCAACAAGGACATTTTGCCCCAGTCGGCCTCCCTCAAAAGGTCATTAAGCAGGGCGACCAATGCCATTTCCATGCCATGGCGTAGCCTGAAACCTGACTAGAACGGATCGAGGGCGTTGGTCTGGACATATTCAAAACAGTAAGGAACAACAATCCATATAAAAACCCCACTCAGACAGACAGTCATTAATGGAAAGCTTGCTTGGAGAGAAAGGTCTTTGCCTGCTTGTGGAAGGAGAGCAAAAATTACTCAGCTACTCAATTCAGAGAGCAAACTTGTGAATCTAAAGAGCATTTACCTGACGTTCAGACCTGCATCTCGAAGGGCTTTTGCTGTTCCTCCAGAAGCAACTAGGGCCAAATGCAAAGAACTGAGACATTTTGCAAATTCCACCAGGCCGGTCTTGTCTGAGACACTGAATAAAGCTAGATGGAAAGTGAAAAATAAAGCATTAACATGTGGCAGAAATTTAAAATGCATACTGGACTACTTATTTACCCTGTACTGAGCTCAACACAATTCTGAATGGAAGAACTATGCAGTCAGTTCTCTCGATCTTGTGTTATCGTCTCCAGCTGAGAAGCAAATTGATTTCTTGATGATCAGTCACATTTCAACCATTTATTTCTGGGCATCATTCCCATCTTTTTATTAGTGGGAAGGACATTTGGTTGCAACCGACAATGAACTGTGACTTTCCTCAGCTTGGTGTCTTGTTAATATGCTATATACTACAAGTCCCATCACACCAGCTTGCTGGCTGAGAATGATGTGTTGTATAATCTAACACATCTGCAAGTCAACAGATTAGGAAAGGCTACTGTAGAGTGAATTCAAGTTACTGCCAGAAAAAGATGAAAATCATGTTTTGTGTTGCAACCACTAGCAGTCTTGAATATGTTTTTTAACAAAGGCAGTCTTTCACCTTCTATCTTTAGTTGGCCTTTTCTCTCCAAATAACTTTTACAAGATCTGTGATACAACAACACAACTAGAAAGCTGCTTTCTCTGCGCCAGCCTGTCTATATCCTTTTGTAAATTTATCCCTCCTCACACCATTCTCAAGGACAAAGAGTCCAAATAAAGGGAAGGGAAAAATTGGCTGAGTGGATGGAGGCACTCATTTCCCTGCAGGTCAAAGTACAGATCCTTCCTTGAGGAGTGTAACATTTTCCCTGAAAACAGAACTGAGAACAGGCACTGGGGGAGTTCACATTTTACCAAAATGCTGCAACAGGCACTGGGGGAGTTCACAATTTACCAAAATGCTGTCCCCTTCTTAATTTAAATTGGTATTTATAAAGGAAGAAGACAAAAATAAACTTGTGCTCATATTTTTCATCCAAAAGATGGAGCTATTAAATGGGGTCAGGCTCAATCTAAGGCACCCAAGAGAAGGATAAAGGGATGAACTGAGCACAATCAGGGCTGTTGTTGCTGCTTTAAAAGTAAGCAAATAAACAAATAAATAAATTCTTGGGAGATCTGATCACCGTTGGTATAACTTGGACATGAGCAAGAGGATGGAAAGAAGTGTGGTTAGAGACTACCTAACTTTTACTTTTGACACTTTTGTTCCACCAGTCTGAAAAATTATTCCAAGTAACTACCCAGGGAGAGGCGAAATGTCTGGAAACCACCATTTATATATTTATTCCAATTTGCTGTATTTCTGCTCTTCAATTTAGATCTTGCTGGAAAATAGTTCAGGACCCAGAAGTCTGAATTCTCACTGTCCTTCCTGGGCGACGGACCAAGAGGGATCACCCAGAGAGCGTTGGCAAAATTAAAGGGAGGGTGGGGAAGAAATATTAGCGAAAAAGGTAAAACACAGTGCCCTTTAAAAGACTGGTTTCAGTGAGTTTTCAAGGATCAAAATCCACTTATTCAGATACATGGCACACAAATGCATGTCCTCTCTCCCTCTCTTCCCTCACTTGTGACTCATGACCAGGACTGGATACGATGAACACAAGAGGGCATGTGGCTGGTGGGGCTGCACACCTTGCCACGGGCACAGCCCTGGACCAACTGCGGGGGTTTCGGAGTGCCGCTGAAAAGCCACTTCAGCGTATTTCACGCCTACCAAACTCAGGCGGGGGCACCGGGGCGCAAGTTTCTCCCTCTCTTCCCTCACTTGTGACTCATGACCAGGACTGGATACGATGAACACAAGAGGGCATGTGGCTGGTGGGGCTGCACACCTTGCCACGGGCACAGCCCTGGACCAACTGCGGGGGTTTCGGAGTGCCGCTGAAAAGCCACTTCAGCGTATTTCACGCCTACCAAACTCAGGCGGGGGCACCGGGGCGCAAGTTTCAATCTCCCAGGAAAGTACAGCCACNTGATTTTTAAAACCCTCTCTCCGGTCTTCTGGCATTCCGAGGACAGGCTCGGCTCCGCTGCCTCCGCACCTAACAGGACCCTTCCATTGACCTAGAAGTTCGCCTTCCTTAACTCTCCGGGTGCCGCCTCTTCCCGGGGCTGTTTTCTCACAAAGCTCCGGGTGGGGGGGGAGGGAGGCGCCCCACCCCCCGGGCCTCCCTCCCCGCTCACTCGCAGACTGCAGCTGGGAGGCAGCGCCTTCCGCCTGGCCTCCTTCCCCTCCTTCCCTCCCTCGCGAGCCCGCCCAGGTCACGAGCGCCTGCAGAAAGCACCAGGGAAGCCCCCGACCGCGAGACGCGCGGGCATTATTAGTATTATTACCAAGCTGCTGCCCAGGTGTGGTGGCCATGCTGGCGGCTGCTCTGGCGAAAGTGGCTGGCAGCAGCGGCTCTGGCGACCCGGGAGGGAGAGAGAAAGCCTTCGCCCCGGGACGGGTGGAAATTAAAGGGGGTGGGTCTGGCTCAGGGGACGGGTTAGGG